TATTCTAACAACTTTATGTTATTCACCTTAACAAAACCACAAATAACTCATACATTATTCAATCATTGGAACATAATTTCCATATTCAATTAACAAAACCTTAAAAAAAAAACCCCTCAAACTTCTTCATATATTGTAACAAGTTTATGTTATTCAACTTAACAAAACCAACATTAAATCCTACATTATTCAAACATTCCAGCATAATTTTAAGTATTCAACCCCAAAACCAAAAAAAATTTAAACAAAAAAAAGTACCTTTAGCTTGAGAAACGAAAGCATCATCGTCGTCATCAAGATTCAAGATTGTTGCAACTATGTTCTTGAATTTTGACTTGAAACCACTCGACCTTGTACTCCTCATGCTTCGTGAATCTTTGGTATCCGAAATCTCCCAATGCAACTTCAATAATCAGATCTATAATAATCGATCGTTATATACAAAAGATTAACAGAATCATCCGATTTTAGGGTTGATTCTACTAAATTTTGTATGTGCTCCGATAAAAATGATAATTGTATTGGGGTATGTGCGATAAATTTGGGATTATGATATTAGTTTAAGAAAAACTTTTTTTTCCTATCTTAATGGCAATGACAAATGTACACAATTACCCTTTTACAGTCGTTGACATTTAATAAAATGATTTTTATTTTCTTTAACTTAATTGAATAATATAATCATTTTTTTAAATTAATAAAATTTGATTGACCCACAATAATTTTTACATTCACACAATACTTAGTTAGAATATAATAAGACTTTGAACATAAAGTATATATATATATATATATATATATATATATATATATATATATATATATATATATATATATATATATATATATATATATATATATATAGGGAAGGGTTATTTGGAAAACAAAAATACCCTAAAAAGAATAAAAATGTATAAAAAAAATACTTAAAGATTACAAAAAAAAATTTAAAATTTTTTTATAAAAAAATCCCAGATTTTTTAATAAATTCGCTGAAAAAAAAAATCAATTTTAAAAAAAAAATTTAAAATATCAAAAAAAAATCAACGAATTTATTTAAAAACATGCGATTTTTTCATAAAAAAATTCAAAAAAAAGTTTTGTGATCTCTAAGTATTTTTTTATGCATTTTTATGATTTTTAGGGTTTTTTGTTTTCCATAGAACCTAAACCTATATATATGTTCTATGGAAAACAAAAAACCCTAAAAATCATAAAAATGTATAAAAAAATACTTAGAGATCACAAAACTTTTATTTGAATTTTTTTTATAAAAAGTCGCAACCTTTTATTAAAATTCGCTGAAAAAAAAAATAAAAAATCAGTTTTTTTTTATAAAATTTTTTTTTTCAAAATTTTTTTCAACGAATTTCTTTAAAAACCTGCGATTTTTTTATAAAAAATGTCAAATTTTTTTTTTGTGATCTCTAGGTATTTTTTTATGCGTTTTTATGGTTTTTTGTTTTCCAAATAGCAAATATATATATATATATATATATATATATATATATATATATATATATATATATATATATATATATATATATATATATATATAATAACTTTGAACATAAAGTAAATTTTAATTAAAAAAATAATTAATTGAAACCATGTCTTCTTGTTGCTAAAAAGAAATTTTACAATTCGGTTATATTTTCTTAATGTTAAGATTATAAATAAAGATAAAATTTAGTTCATAATTTTATATGTTATACCGTTTTTTCAATTATCGCTTTTACAATTATGGTTTGTTGAAAAAATCATTATGAAAAAGTACTAACAACAAATAGTAATTCTAGTCATTTTTTTTTTGCCATGAGCTATGCCACCAAAATATATTTTTTCTAAACAATATGCTTTTATATATATATATATATATATATATATATATATATATATATAGATATATATATATATATATCTATATATATATATATATAATATTTTTCATCAAATTTACATCTTAACCGTAAAACATTTTTCATATCATACTTAATTCAATTTTCATATACAACATAAAGTATTATCAAAGATTATTATATTAACGTATACAATATAACGATATAACGGATTGAAATCTCTTATCAATTTTACTAAAATACAATTAAATATTTTTATACATAAAAAGTTTATTTGTAAAAGTTAACAGTAGATTTAATATATATATATATATATATATATATATATATATATATATATATATATATATATATATATATATAGAAAAGTTCAATAGAAAACCATAATTATTGGTTGTTCAAGAAACCAAATCTTTTTTTTCAATTTTAGAGCTTATTCTTTGTCGAAAAAAAAAATCTAAAAATATCTAAATTCATATATTAACATTGTGAATTTTCATAGATTCACATTGTGAATTTGACGTAAAAAAAAATCGAATTTGATATCATTGGAAAAATGATAAAAAGTTATGAATTTCTGTATTTTTAGTTTTTTTTTTGTTAAAAAATAAGTTCTAAAAATTGAAAAAAAGATTGGTTGCTTGGTTACTTGGTTAATTATGGTTCTCTATTGAACCTCACCCTATATATATATATATATATATATATATATATATATATATATATATATATATATATATATATATATATATATATATATATATATATATATATATATATATATATACTATTAAATGAATTTACTTATATAGTTTTTTATCTTCTAAAGTAAAACATTTTCTCTTCCATGTTTAATATGAATGCCTCCACCCTAAAATAGAGCTTTATATGTTCTTATTTCGTTATTTTCTCTGTTATTGAATTCATTTTTTTTCTCTCATTTCTAAATCCTAACATCCTTAACTATGTTTTTGTAAACTATTTTTATATGATATTACAAATAACGTTTAATATCTATATGTTAAAAAATCTCTTCAAGTTGTATTGAGTAATTAGTTTTCAGTTAGAAGTACTTTCAAATTATAGTGGAAGTTTTAAATGAACATGGTGTAAGAACAATGACCATTATTATATTATAATATATAATATAGATATAGACTTGAACTTGTGATTAAGTAAATCACATAATTATTACCGTTTCCAATATATGTTATATGTTAGAAGATATGTGAATTCATTATTAATTAGAAAGAACTTATAAATGACTACAACAATTAGATAACAAGTACTTTTAGTAGAGAAAATTAGGCAAGGTAGGAACAACCTTTCTAGAGATATCATTTATTGTGATAACAATTGCCAACTTAATTCAACATATCGAGATTTCTTTGATTATATGCCAATACTGAGAAGGCCAAGTGTAGGGACTAAAGAGTGCCCTTTATGTACGACAATCAATTGCATCACATCTATAATCTTACTTTGTAATTTGAATCGTATATCCTTTCAAGTGAGCTTTAAAACAACACCACTGGATGGCATTGAGAGACAATGAATGAGTAACCTCTACGGTGTTAATGTCATAAATGAATAAGAAATAATTTGTTATTTAGTTATGACATTAAATTAACCTAGATGAAGCAATATAGTAATCTTTATCTAAAACTGGTTTGAATATGAATGATAATGTATGTCGTAAAAAACTATCCTAAAATAAAAATGAGGAAGTACATTACCAAAAGGTAAAATTAAATACACAATCAAAAACCTTTAGAAGATGCCCAAAACTAAAGCAACTAGGTGAATAGACTAACAATTTTATATTTTAAACCCATGTGACTGCATGAAATCTACAATAACTTCTTGGGACACCAATGGGCCTATGAACCATAGTAATGAATAGTGATATACGGTCACTCATGTTGGACCTGTCCTAGCAAAATGGTTACATGTGAATTTGATATGAATGGTGTACAAATAACAAATATAAAAGATATAAAGTGATCAAAGTACGTGCCAAAAGTAATCGGATTAACTGCATGAGTACAATACGAAATTTGAAAAAAAAAATCCGCTAGAATGAAAATGATTCAGTAACACTTTATTCATAGCTTTAATAAAAATGGTTTATAATATAAGAAAATCACCGTATTTTTTTTACATAAATTATGGTGTTATAAATAATATTATTTCAAATTTGAAGTATCTGAAGTTGAAGTTGACTTCTCATATTTGTCATTTTAAGTTTGAATCTATGTATACCTATACTTTTTTTTAAAGTTATTTCAATTTTAAGCTTTTATATTTTAAATTATTTATTTATGTTTTTAATATGACTATCGTGACAAATATATTTAATTTTTTTTAAAGAATTTATAAAATATAACAAACTCGTAAGTAACACTATCCATTTAATTCAGCAATATTTTTTCTTTAATAAGTTTTTTTTAACAATATATATATATATATATATATATATATATATATATATATATATATAATATATATATATATATATATATATATATATATATAGAAGATGTATTTATTAAAATCTTATATTCAGAAAAATAAATATATAATTAAAATATTCTTTTTGAGATAAAGATATGTAAAACAAATACATTAATACAGTTGAAGATCAATTATTATTAGCATTATTATTTTTTCATTAAATTTTTTCATTTATTTGAATGAAGTAGGGTTGGATATGGTATCAAGCAAGATGGGGATTTGATCATTTGATTTCTCAAAAAAAATCAAATATATGTAAATTATATATATATATATATATATATATATATATATATCTATATATATATATATATATATATATATATATATATATATATATATATAAACATTATTTTGTTTCCGTTGATTATATCTATTTTCAGTTTTTGTAATAATAAAATCTAAAGTGAACCCAAGAATTTGGAAACAATATCTCTTTTTCCTTACAGTTATTGTCGGTTTCCGTTTTTCTGCATAACCATACAATCATATATAATTTGATTAATAAATATGTTTTAAAAAGATAATTAAATCACAGACACAAGTCATAGCCACGATATAAATAAAAATCTTATGCATAAAATAAAATGCTGGTAGATGATATAAAAGAAAAACGAAAAAAAGAACCTTTCAATGAACTCATTTCATTAACATTTACACCCCCCATTGACAAAAATATAAAATTACAAAATACTTTTCTTATTGGTTTATTCCATTCTATCTCTCCCCTCATTATTTTATTTTTCTTGCAAATAATAAATAAATCATAAAATAAACCCACAATATACCACTGTAAATAAAAACTTACAATGTTACACTTACACCCCCTGACTCCCACTTCCCCACCCCCATGTGTTTTGTGTTTCAAGCTTCAATAATCAACCCGCAACCCGACCCGCGCACCCATCTGACATCTTCTGCAACTCATGACCCACATTTGCAGTGCACCCCAAATGCTTGTTCGATTTCCACTGTCTATAAATTTCCATCATTCAACTGCAGCCATTGATGATGTCTTGTTTGGAACAATCTCGTACTCACCACCTTCGCCTTCGCCTTCGCCTTCACCTTCTTCCTCATCGTCGTCTTCATCTTCTTCGTCGTAATCGTCATCGTCATCCGCATGCTGGTGATCTTCAATCCCTGTAGATTCATTCGTCTTCATCTGCTGATTATGTCGTTGTTGCTGTTGATGTTGTTGTTGCTGCTGCTGTTGGTGGTGATGTTGTTGGAGGTGGTGTTGTTGTTCTTGAACCACCGCCGGAAGTGGCCATTGCTGTTCCGGTCTAGCCATGATCGGAGCCATCTGGTTTTCCGGTTTAACGGCGAACCCTGGATTATTACTGTTGTTATTATTATTACTGCTGGTTGCTTTCTCTCTGTAAATGGCGTCGAGCTGGTGGAAATACGGGCAAGTTTTCGAATCCTCCGGTCGTTTCTTGCTGCTTTCTTTAACCTTCTTGTAGTATTTATTAATGTTCTCCCATTTTTCTTTGCATCGTTTAGCATTCCGGTTGTATCCAAGCTTCTTCATCGCCGACGATATCTCCTCCCATAATGGCCCTTTGGGCCCACTTTCTTGATATTTCGTGTCAAGCGTCGTTCGGAGTTTAATCAGTGCATTAATTTCAGCTTTCGGCCATCTCGACGGACTTGGTTGTAGCATGTTCTCTCCTCCGCCGCCGTTATCGAGATTCCTCACCACAGGCGGTGGCGGAGCGGGTGTTGATAAGGATACCGGTGCCGGTAATGGTACAGCTACTGCATAGTGGCAAAGTCGTAAAATTATATGGAGAGGGGACGAAAAGTTATAGATTTATAAAGAAAAAACGCGGAGACTGCACCTGATATCGGAGAAATTGGCTGTTGTTGTTGTAGTACTTGCGGTGGTGGTGGTGGTCGCGGCTGGGATTGCTGTTGCTGTTGCATTGGTGGCGCCGGTTGTACTGACGATGGTGGTGGAAGCGGCGGAGGCGGTTGGTTTTGTTGTTGTTGTTGGAGTAATTGCATAGCTGGCATTTGTGGGATGACAGTACTCGGGTTTTGTTCCGTGATCTTCTGCAAAAAAGTGATAACCGCCGCATCTTTCGCCGCCACCATGGATCTTTCCTGCACCAACAGATCGTGTTCTCGTTTCATTTTCGCCATTTCTTGAATCCGCCATGCTTCCTCTCTCGCCATCCGATCACGTTCTCGTCTTTCCAACGTATCAAGAAACTTCGATTGTAATTCCTCTTGTTTATCAATCACCTCCTTCATCAACCTCCCGAAAAACTCCTTCCATTTCCGCTTCCTATTCCTCCTCCTCTCCGGTGGCTCATCGTCTGAAGAAGTCGATGAAGAACTCGAATTCGTCGACGCCGACATATTCAGTTGCGAAAAAGGAAACCCACCAACGTGATTAATATTCATCGACGGCATTGCCACCGCCGGCGCCGCAACGGAGATTGGATCCACGTTGTTTTGATGCGACACCGTGATGTTTACAGGAGTTACAACAGATGGAAGAGATGGAAGAATTTGTGTAATTGTTGAAGTATTCGGCATTGTAGAAACTTGTGGTGGTGGTTTGGAGAGAACCGGCTGAGGAGGTGGAAGAGACAGCGGTTGTTGGTGGTGGCTGCTGGCGGCGGGGTTGGCTTCTAAAGCTTGTAATTGATCAAAAAATCTGTAAGTTTTTCCATCGGCTTTTGAAGTTCGACCTTCTTTGGTTCTCTTGTGGTATTTATAAACGTTCTCGAATTTCTCTTTGCATTTTTTGGCACTTCGATGATAGCCAAGCTCAGCTAATTTCCTGAAATAAAAAAATCAAGAACATCAAATTTTGTTTCCACATAAAATATTTAATTATTTAAATCCCGGCGGAGCACTTGCTAGAATCCGGCCATGGATTGAAGTGGTATGAACAAGATAAATCTAAGGAGATGAAGACAAAACTGAAATGGAATTCGAATTCGAATTCGAATTGAAATTGGAATTCAAATTCAATTAGCTCGCCGGAATAGGTAAAGAAAGGAATGGTAATTGGATTCCGATAAACCGGAAAAAAGACACGAGCTTTGTAATTCGCTACATAGATCTCGTTTTCAATGATTGAATCAAACCCAGAAAAGAACACGATTGAATTCATAAGCTAAAAGGAGTAAAATTACCTTGAAACCTCATCCCATAATGGACCTTTCAGACTTGAATCACGAAAAGCAACATCCATATCCGACCGGATTTTAAGCAGAGCTAACGTTTCCTGTCTTGGCCACCTATTTCCACCGGAATTCCGACCACCTTCTTCTATTCTTCCTCTTTCATCTTCGCTAAATCCTCCGCCACCACCACCACTAGCAAGTTCAGCCGCCGCCGCCGCCGTTTCATTGGGTTGAACTGAAACAGGAGTCGCCGCAGCGTCGCCGGAGTTTCCAATTCCTGGAGAAACTCCCTGCAGCATCATATGATGGAGAAGACACTGTTGAAAGAGAAGCAAATTACTAGAGATGAATTAAAAAAACAAAAAAGATGGTGAATTCTTGAGGGTTTTATGTAAGATTGGATGTATGGTGAATTTATTAATTTATTTCGGTGGGGATCTGATCTGCCTGTCAATCTCACACCCAAAAAAAGAAAAAATGAAAAAAGATTAAAAAAAAATGATAATAATAATTTCTTTTAAAAAGCCAACGAGAGAGAGAAAGAAGGGGTGGTAGAAGTAGTGGCAGTAAAGATGGAAATTATTAAATTAAAAATAAAAATAATAAATAAAAAACTTTATATAGCTGGGGGAATCTTTTGGTATTATTATTATTTTCTTCCCCTTTATCTGCTTGTTTAAGAAAAGTTTCAGAGACCACCACAAGGGTCACTTTGGTTTATCTGTCAGCAAATGGCACAGATAGATAACTCCCTTATTATTATAACATTATTTTTATTCAAATAAAAACAACTTAATAAGTAGGTAATTTCTTAAATATAACCTAATTATGATTATATATATAGGTAACTAATTCATGTATTATGTATTTATATATATAATTAAAGGTATATAAAAAATATAATAATATAAGAATGGAGGTAATGACGGTAATGATTTAAGAGGGTAATATATATTTTTTTATACGTATTTGGTTATTGAGTTTTTTTTTATAAAACTATAAAAATAATTCATGTCGTATGCATTTTTTTTTGTGGGAGTTGGTCCAAACTATAACTTTTTTTATTGCTGATTATTTTGACAACGTTTGTACGTAGTTTTAGTCCCTCTTAAAATTAAAATGACTATTATATCATTTTTTTTTTACATTTTTAATATTTATTTTAACATTTTAGTAATTAAAAAAATAAAAGAGTACCCACATCCCCCCCCCCCCAAGCACAAGTTTTCTTTCTTAAAATTAAAATGGCTATTATACCATTTTATTTTTATTTTTACATTTTTAATATTAATTTAACATTTTAGTAATTAAAAGAATAAAAGAGGACCTACATCCTCTCTCTCTCTCGAATTTGAAAACGTATTCATACCAACAATTAGCCGTTGGGGAAATGGGGTTGTACAGTTCTTTATTTTATATAAGAAAATACATATATGATTAAATCAATAAAAAAATCATATAATTCACCTAACACATATATCAAGTAATACAGATAATAGACACGCATAGTATTTAATCATCTAGATATTTTATATCTATGTGTAAGTTGAAAATAACTATGCACTGATGACTGAAAAGTTGGGCAACGCTTCATTTTAGCACTTAGCCTTTCCTTTGACGTGACCTAGGTTCAATAATCACTAAGTCTTAGTTTAGTATTTCTTATGACTAATGATAGTCTAGATTTCTTAACAGTCTCACTGTCTACATCAAGATCTATCAAGCAATGATCAACCAGGTAAGATCATATCGGAGGTATGGTCTGTTTGGTATACACTGTTTGGAAATCTCACTTTAAACACATCACTAAATCTAGCCTAGACATCACCCCCATAAGTAGATCAATTAGTATAATGACTTGGAATCACTAATAAATTTTATTTATAAATTCATAACAACGACTATGAATATAAATATAAGTTACCCTAAAAGCAATATAAGTGTAGATTAACTTACAGAGATTTTCCTGAGGAAAGTCCAAAAATTACACTAGCAGAACTCCGAGTGGATAGCTACTAATGTTGGGTACTCAGGGACCTTATAGCTTCGCTAAAATCTTAAAAACTAAAGAATTTTTTAGCAAAAATGTAGAGAAAATCGAGACAGAAATATAGGAAGGTGTAGGGAAGTGAATGAGTAGTTGAAACATATTTATAGGATGGAAAATCAATGTATGTGTCGCGCCCCGACCAGGTGCGCACCGTGCCCTGGCTTGCTCGGCCCTCCCAACATGTGACACGTGTCGTTCGTTCTCTAGTGCAACATGACCCTTCTAGAATGTAACGTCCCAAAAATTAGAACCAAAAATTTTGTTTTTGTAATAATAAAACCATCAACCAAACATTATTTATAGAAACCATAAAGAAAATCAGAGTATATCAACAATCATCCAAAAATACATCAGAGTCAAGTAGAGCGGAAAATCATGGTGTATGCATTACGATCATCCTGAGCTCTTCCCCTTCGAACCGGAAGTACCTGAAACATAATTTGAAAACCGTAAGCACAAAGCTTAGTGAGTTCCCCTAAAATACTGCATACCATACATATACGTTAGCTCAAGGCTGTATCGGGTCTATTTCACCTCCGAGTCTATTTCAACTCATATGTCAGCACAAGGCTGTACTGGGTCTATTTCACCCCCGAGTCTATTTCAACTCATATGTCAGCACAAGGCTGTACCGGGTCTATTTCACCCCCGAGTCTATTTCAACTCATATGTCAGCACAAGGCTGTACCGGGTCTATTTCACCCCCGAGTCTATTTCAACTCAATTAGTATTTTTCAACTGTATGGGTCAATTTCACCCCACATACATATAGCAAACAGGCACACATGCATACATGCATACAACAGGAGTCACAAAGACTACAAGCACATAAAATCCCTAGTCTCCTACAGTATAGTGAGCAAACTCACCCCGATTCGTAGCTAAACAAATAGATGCTCGGGTTACTGAACTGGAGAATCCCCGTGCTAACCAATCAAATACAACCTTAATTAATAATTAGGTCACCATAATCGGGACATTAATTCACTAACCCTAACTCCTAGGGTAAAAGACCATTTTGCCCTTCCCTTTAATTGGCCCAATTAACCGTGGCCCAAACCCAAAAACACTCGAAGCCCAAAATGGCCCAAATCCATAAAGGCCTAAGGCCTAACAATGGCCCGGATCAATAAAACTTTTGTCCCAACAAGAGCCCAAAACCTAGAGTCCAAAAGTTGCCCAAATCCAAAAGCCCAAAATGGCCCCCTGATGAGTACGCTCAGCGTACTACCTGGGTACGCCCAACGTACTACCTGGGTATGCCCAGCGTACAGCTCCGTGGTAGTTGTATACACTCATCGTACATTGGAGTACGCCCGACGTACGCCCCTACTTGCCAAAACTTCATTAAGAACTTAATGCTTTAAGTCCAAACGTCCATTTTTCAGATCCAGACCTTGGCGAATGTCTTAAACGATAAAGTTACCAACTTGATGCCTTTTCATGGCTTAAAGAGACTCAAACCCTAGATTTAGCATTCTACTTTCACCAAATGAGCATTAAGCCTTGCATGGTTGATCTACAACCATCAAGATGCAAACTTTATGGACTAGGGACCTCAGAAACATCAAGAGGAGCAGCTCAAAACTTCTGGAGTGACATTTACTCACAAGAACTCATTCATGGGACCAAAATATGTCCAAAACTCCACTAGATCTAGATCTAAGATTAGAATAACCAAGGTCAAGACTTTATACCTCTATGAAGCTGAGGAAGGTGAGTAAACTCTAGATCTACAAGCTCCAACTTGATCAATGCTCCTTCCTTAAGCTTCTTCTTCTTCAAGATTCACCAAACACCCACCAAAACACACACACAAGGGTCAAATCTCTCTAAAATGGGTTGGGGTTTCAAAATGACGCTTAAAGGGGCAATTAAGTATAGTAATGAGAGAACCTTGGGGCTTAAAGTTGTTTAAATAGGGTCCAACCTAAAAATTAGGGTTTAACCCCTGACCATGTATGCCCAGCGTACTAGACGTATACCCAGCGTACGCACACATCCTCCAAATTTTCATTTAATGCCATAAGAGACCAATTTTGCAAACATTTATCATTCCAAGGGTCAAAATGTAAAATACCTTGAATCGAGTTTTACAATTCTCCCCCACTTAAATTAGATTTCGTCCTCAAAGTCCGCTGCCGCAAATAACTCCGGATAATTCTCCCTTATCTCATCCTCAGGCTTGCACATCCACATTGAACCTTTTTGGTGCTGCCACTGCACCTTCACGAGATCCACAACCTTGTTTCGTAGAGTCTTCTTCCTCTTGTCAAGGGTCGCTATTGGTTTCTCTATATAATTCAAGCGATTATCCACCTAAATGTCCTCCAATGGAACTACTACTAAATTGTCGACCAAGCATTTTCGCAACTAGGAAACATGAAATGTGTTGTGAATCTGACCGAGTTCCTCGGGTAGATCGAAACGATATGCAACCCTGCCCACCCAGGCTAAAAACCTGAAAGGACCAATATACCTAGGGCCCAGCTTACACTGCTTCCTGAATTGGATGACACATTTCCAAGGTGACACCTTCAAGAGTACCATGTTCCCAACTTGGAACTCTATGTTTAACCGACGCCTATCAGCATAGCTCTTCTGTCGACTCTGCGATTTCTGAAGTTTGCCGCGAATCTGTTGAATCAGTTCCATCGTTTTGAGTACCGCCTCCGTAATCCCCATAACCCGCTGACAGACCTCACCCCAACATATCGGGGTCCTACACTTCCTCTCATAGAGCATCTCCAAAGGAGGCCGATCAATGTTAGCGTGATAACTATTGTTATACGAAAACTCCACCAAAGGGAGATACGTATTCCAACTCCCGCAAAATCCAATACACATGCCCGAAGCATGTTCTCCAATGTTTGGATAGTCCGTTCGCTCTGACCATCAGTCTGCGGGTGGGAAGTCGTGGTGAAATGCAAACGACTGCCCAACTCCTCATGAAATCTCGTCCAGAACCTGGAAGTAAACTGAACATCCCAATCAGAAACCACCGAAACCGGCACGCCATGTCGTGCCACAACCTCCCGAATGTAGATGTCGGCTAGCTTCTCGGTCGAGATACTCTCCTGGATCAGAATAAAGTGTGCACTTTTGGTCAATCGATCCACGATGACCCATATCGAATCCACTTCGCACGTCGTCCGTGGTAACTTCATGATAAAATCCATCGTAATCTCTTCCCATTAACAAACGGGAACACCCAACGACTCCATTTTTCCGTGTGGTCGCTGATGCTCGGCCTTGAATTTCCTACAACTCAAGCACATCTCCACATACAAGGCCACACCCCGCTTCATGCATGGCTACCAATAGTCAGATCTGAGATCTCTGTACGTCTTTGA